GAAATAAATAAGCTCAGAGGGAGGAAATGAGAATTTTCTTTGCTGCTTGCAATGCTTTTGCTTTTTAAAATTTCATAACGTGTGCTTTCATTACATAAAAAATGTACCCTTCTTTTTTTCTTTATCTTGTATTTTGTTCCACTTGGCTTCAGTGGGAGATTTGAAAATGAACTGATGCGGAAGGTAAATCCAGAAGAGTTTAATGCAGTTTTATTTCCAACTTGAAAGCTGTTATACCTTTCAGCTGAATTTTAGTTAACATGCTAGGTATTTCAGCAGACTTTTAAATTTTTCCTCGATGAATTACTTTTCTCTAAATAGTTAATTGTGAGAGCAGAAGCATGCTAACAAAATTAAAAATGAGAGGTCTAAAAATGATCATAAAAAATGTGAATTTGAGAATTACAATGGGAAGCCAAAAGAAGGCTTTCATTAGGCTGTTTGCTTTTTCATGATAGGGGTTATAATGTAATTCAATTGTTTAAGATCATTTCAACAGAAAGAATCAGGAATGAGAAACAAAGGCAAGGGCCAGCTGGAAAGCACGGACTTAGCAAATATTAATGGAGCAGAGAACTGTGTGCACGACACCAGGCCTGGCCTTGGAGGGAAAGGGGCACTGATATGGGGGCAAGGTGGGCAAGCTGCAGACAAGGCAGGCCTGCGTTTGGTAGCAGGTGGGAGGAAAGTGGGGGAGGAGATGTTGTTTCTTGTTTAAATGATCGGGGAAAGTCTCCCACGGAGGTGGCATCGGCCTGTGCCCTGGGGATGAACAGGTTTTAGGGACGGAGGTGGGCGTTCCTGGTGGCAAGAATGGCAACAATCAGAGAGGGAGGGAAACAGAAAGGTACAGACGGGATATCGTGGGGAAATAAACAGATAAGCAGGTAGTTATTCTGTAATCCACGTTGGCTTTCTATGAACTATTGGTAAAATCCCTGAGCGGATAGCAGAGAGGCAGTGAAGTGTGGTTTTAAGAACTCGGTCTCCTGGCCCAGCACGTTCTAGCTATGTGATCCTGGTTAAACTGCAGGAGCTCTCTGACCTTCGCTGTCCTCTTGGGTAAAGTGGGGCAATCATACCAGGATCACTGGCAAGAAGTAAGCTGATGCAGTTAGAGAACTTAGCGTAGGTTAGGTCCAGAGTACGTGGCAAATACATTCTGACTCTTAATAGCAGTAAACAACAAATCGTCCAGAAGTATGAGTTTTTCCTTTAAAGATCTTTTGAGAATAGGAGTGTGTTGCAGCCTCCACGGGTCCATCTCTAACCCTGGTATTGCTTCTAGCTGGCCCAGCTCCACCAAAGGAGGGGGGTGCAGGTTAAGGAGGCTTCAGAACAGGGTTCTTGTAGAGTCTGCTGGGTTGACAAGCCTACCCAGAGCAAAGCACGGCTACAAAAGCCATGCGCAAGCAGTCGCTCTCTGCTGGCGGCTGAAGAAACCTCATCCTTCCAGGCCTGCACTGGGGCATTCTGGAAACTGTCCTCATCACAAGTGATGCTCCAACTTCGCTTCTGACTTCTGGTGCAGGAATTGCCCGGGACTTCCAACAGACCTGAGCTTCCAGGGCTTAGCTGCTGGTGCTTTGCAGAAGGCAATTCGTGAGACCTGTCTGGTTGTCCACTTGGAAGACACCAACCCGTGTGCTATCCACGCCAAGTGTGTAATAATGTTGCCTGAAGACACACGGCTAGCACGCCCCACGCGTGGAGAACGTACTCAGGAATCCTCTGTGACAAGAAACAGTTCATTCTCAAAAAAAAAAAAAACAAAACGAGGAGCACCTGAGTGGCTCAGCTGGTTAAGCGTCTGCCTTCGGCTCAGGTCATAATCTCGGGGTCCTGGGTTCGAGCCCCGCATCGGGCTCCCTGCTCAGAGCTCGTGTGCACGCTCTCTCTCTCTCTCCCCTCTCAAATGAATAAAAAAAAAATCTTAAAAACAAAAACCAGAAAAACCCCACAAAAGGTTCTCTTCTTGTTATTGGTAGTCCTGAACATTAGATTTTTTCCCCATGGGGTCAGAAAGTACCCGAGTATGTGATTGTGAATGGAAACACAGGGGGCAGAAATCAGGTCTTGGCAGCAATCACTTTGATTTGTGTGCAAATTTTTATTTTTTAAAGATTTTATTTATTTGAGGGAGAGAGAGAGACCACAAGTGGTGGGGAGGAGCAGAGGGAGAAGCAGACTCAGCTCTGAGCAGGGACCCAGACACAGGACTCGATCCCAGGACCCTGGGATCATGACCTGAGCCGAAGGCAGACGCATAATGACTGGGCCCCCCAGGCACCCCAGTTTTTTTTTTAAGATTTTATTTATTTGTCAGAAAGAGCACAAGCAGGGGGAGTGGCAGGCAGAGGGAGAAGCAGGCTCCCCGCTGAGCAAGGAGGTCAATGTGGGACTCAATCCCAGGACCCCAGGATCATGACCTGAGCCGAAGGCAGACGCTTCACCGACTGAGCCGCCCAGGCACCCCGTGTGCAAATTTTTAACATAAAAGTGGAGACGTAAAGCATTTGTGCAGGTTGAAATGCTTCAGCAAGAAAATTCAGCAACTGAATTTTATAACAATTATACACAAACCTGCTAAGGGTTTCTGGATCATGCAGGCGTCTGGATTTTCTTAGAGCAAACAGATCATTTATGGACGGCAACTAAATGGTGTTCTCCGCGTCTGTACCCTACGCGGGATCCCACCCACATAGAGTCTTTCTCCCTGAGTGGTCCTGCATGCAAGTGCATTGGTCCTCTGTGCTGTTCCTGTAACTTTGCTCTTAAAATACATTAAGCTCTGAAAACATTTTTTCTGGGGATAGTTTCAGTGTTCCTTACGCATCCAGATTTGCTGTGTTAGCTTCTTGGGATGCATCTCAGTCAGTGCCAGTGGTTTGAAGGATCTGGGGTCCAACACACATGCGGCATTCCCTTGCCAAAAGAAACTGGAATGAAGTTTCTGGAAGGCACAACATTTTTTCAGTTGGCATGATAAGGTATAGGGCTATTGTCATATTCATTAGCCGACTTGTTCTGTAATTCCTAATACCTACCGCTAAAGTGTGAATGAGAATAGAAATTGAATCTGTGTTTGCAGCTCGCTCATCGGGAGAACAGGACACGGCGACAGACACTGTATCAGTAAAGTGGGTGTCAGCCCTCCTCTGTATCTTTGAGAAGCGCCCAGAATGTGGTGTCCCGTGGGCACCAACTGAAGAACCGTGCGTACTCACCATGACAGCAGCAGTGCAGGGACGGCCCAGGCAGAGCCGCGGTCTGCGAGTCAGGTGGTGAGCGCACGCTGCGGCTCCATCTGGGTGGGAGCCCTGTGACAGTGGGACAGTGTCCCCTCACGTCCTCCTGTGCCTCCGAGAGCAAGCCACGTGTGCAGGCCGGTGCTCCAGTCTGGCTTCCGAGGGTCAAGGGTGTGTGCGTCCCCGTGCGAACACTGTGACGGCCGCTGGGCTCTGGGGCGTCTTGCTCGTCACCGCTGGTCCCGGGTGTGGAGACATGTGGCAGCGTCTCTGGGACAGCGTGCACGTGAGGGGACGCCTACACATCTTTCCGTTCCAGGGCTGAGATCTGAGCTCTCACGCGCATTCTTTCCAGAACGGTATTTAACGTTTCCTTCTGTGCCCCTAAGCAGTGACCACGTCCCGGGCGGTCACGGGCGCTGATGCTCCCCACCACCCCGAGGCCCCGTGACGACTCTCCCTGTGCAGCCAAGGAACTGAGGCCCAGAGCGGCCCCCCGACCCAGGCAGAGCCGGGAGCCAGCGGGTGGCCGGGCGAACTGAGCCCCACTCGGTCCGTACCGCCTCTCCTTCTGGTCCTTACACATCTGTGAATGGGTCTGCTTAAAACTCTGAGGCCTCTCTGCAAGCAGTAAAAGTCACTGGTGTGCCCAAGGCACACACCGCCTTCAACCTCTGCGTTACTTCAACGTGTCGATCGGCAGGGCGCAGAGAGACAAAACACGGGCCTGTCCCGAAGGACACAGTGCCTCCGGATGTGAAACAGGAGGAGGAGCCAGGCTCAAGGACACCAGGCTGTGACTAACTACAAAACTTTTCTTGGCTTTTTTTCTTTTTTTTTTTGAGATATAATTCCTATGCCATCAAAATCACCATGTTAAAGTATGTAATCCAGTGTTTTTTAGTATGTTTACATAGCTTTGCAACCATCACCCTAATTCGGGTACATTCTCATCACCCCCAAAGAGCCCCCAGACTTGTTAGCAGCCACTCCCCACGGTCTGCACTCCCCCCCCTCCAGTCCCTGGCAATCACTTACCGACCTTCTTTCTCCTCGGATTTGCTCATTCTGGGTGTTGCACGGAAATGGACTCACCTAGTAAGTGGCCTTTAGTGCCTGGCCTCATGCACGGAATGTCGTGTTCTCTGGGGTCCTCCAGAGTGTGGGAGGCGTCAGCGCTTCAACCCTTCCCGGACTGAGTTATATTCCCTGTGTGGATGGACCCGTGTGTTTGTCCACACATCAGCTTGATGGACGCGCCCTTGGCTTGAAAATTGTGTTTCTGGGAAGGCTCCCTGTCAAAATAAAATTTTAATTCTGTCAGGTCCTTTGTCTTACATCTGCTAAGGATTCCAGTTCATTCTGCCTCAAAGGTTTTATGACAACATCCGCCACTGCAACGAATCACGCAGACCCTTCCTCCGCTGGAGCGCCGTGGGGCCAGCGGATGCCCCGTGGCTGGGCCTGAGCTGGGGGAGGGCTGGCCCACCGCCCACGGGGCTGCAGCAGGCTCCCGTGGGACGCGCCCAGCAGCAAGACAGGAGGACGCATGCATTTCTCTGAGCTCCTCCCCAGTGCTCCTCTCTCCCTGCCCATATTATGTGGTAGGGGAATCGGGGTATTAGTTCCTATTGGGTTTGACTTTTTCCCTCCCGAGTTGTTAAGTCTGTCTCTGTGGCCGTGACAGGCCGTTCTCTCGAGACTTAGGCTCACGAAAGGCTTTTCCTAAAATCTATCTTTGTCTCTTTTCAGGTCGACCCAGTGTTTACAAGGGAAGTAAAAGCCAAAGTAAAGAGGTGAGTGGAAGAAGTGAACAAGCATTTTGCAGGAGAGGAAGCCCAGTGGCCAGCCCCTCACCCCCATCCCCATGCTTGCGCCGCACTCCCTGCACCCAGGTTCTGCTCCCGGCACTCACGGATGCCGCCTCGTGTAACCTCCCCACGACCCCAGGGGCTCCGGGCGCTCTTACTCCCCCCACTCGACAGGAAGGATGCTGTGCTGGGAGCGTGAGCAGTGCCCTCGGGAGCGGAGATGCCCATCCTCCCTCGCTCAGGGAAATGCCGATGAAACCCGCTTTGAAGTTGTAATTTCCACTGATCACATTGGCAGAAACTAAAAGACCTAAGGTATCAAGTGCTGGGTAGTGCCCGCTGCAGACGCTCCAGAACACAGGCTGAAACACGGGGCTAATTGCTCACGTAAGAAGCGGCCAGATGTGGTTGGCCCGGGACCACATCCTTAGGGTGACAGGTGGCCCCAGGGCCCCTCCAGCACATTCCGAGTGTTCAGCGGGGACCCAGGAAAGGGCGGGGACCAGAAGGGTCCCCTTTTAGTTGGTTTCCTCACGGTCCCCCAGGACGGCCCCTCCATGTCACCGGCCACCGTCAGCACAGGGGACTGCGAAGTACTGATTTCACCCCCATAGATACGTGGGCGTCTTTATACGGCTCAGAGACCCAGAGCGCTCGCAGGTAAAACCGTAGGCAGTTATGTGAGTGGTGGAGAGGGTGTTGGAATTCTGGGCGCTTCTCAACACGAATCAGTGTTGCTGGATAAAAAAAATAAGACAAAACCCGTATGATATGTCCGCTCCGGGCAGTGGACACCTGGGTGCTTGTTGTATTCTCCATTTTAGCATTTCTGTTTCTGTTTATTGTATGTCCATTACTGTCCCTATTAGTATTTTTTTAAACAATCATTTCAGAAATGGTCGCATTATTAGAAAAAGTGGCCAGCACCTTATGTTTGACTTCCGATACCTGGGGGGCATGATTCACAGCGGCGGCGGCTCACCAGGGGCGGGGAAGGGCAGAGACCCCCCTCCCCATACTGTGCCGTCCGTATGCCGACTTCTCCATCTGCAGAATTACTGTCCTCCCTCCAGCCACCCCCCTTCCCCCCACCACAAGACTCCCAGTGGCAAAGAGCTGTCCCTGCTCCTGTTTCAGGACGGCTGGGGTGCGGCTGCTGGGAGAGATGCCCCAGGAAGACCTACACGCAGCGCTCAAGAACTGCTTCGCGGTGGTGAACAGCTCCGTGTCTGAGGGCATGTCCGCTGCGATTCTGGAGGTAATGACCCAGCCTGAGTCCTGGAGGCGGGGCCAGGAAGCGCCACGTCCCTCCTGTTCTCCTTTACGAGGCGGTGTCCTTGTCAATCAAGGTCTGCGGCTCTCAGAGCCTTGGAAAGCAAAACAGCCTTTCTTTGGAACCTCAGAAGTAGTTTTTAAGTTCTGAGACTTAAAAAAAAATCATTTCATTTCTCTTTGCCATTTGTCCTTGGCAGCTACAAAATAAAATGAAACTAGATCACCTCTCTGACCCGCTAAATATCTTAGATGGAAGGGCGCTTTGGTTCTAAGAGGTGGGGCCAGGAAATGGGATGAAGGTGTGTTTGGGCAAGAAGTCTCCTTCCTCTTGATTTTCTTCTCCTTTTCAGTATGCTCTATAATCCCAGCATTCAGGGGACAACAATGGTGGGGCTTGCACGTGTGGCGGGGGGGCGCGCACCATGGAGCAGGGGTGACGGGTGCACGGGGAGGGAGTGCGCAGAGCCGCGAGGGGAGAGCTGATCCCCTCGTCTAGCATTCGGCTCCAGAAAGGGCTTTCCTTTCTCTTGTTTTGCGGTCACATCCTTGCGGGCTGGATTCCCTTTCAAGAGCAAGCTCGGCACAGGGTGGCCTCCGTTCGCTCCGTCCAGACCAGTGCTCAGTCCCGGAGCTCGCCCAGAACATTCGGTCACGAGTCACAGCATGCGTGTGGTCACGAGCGGTCACGTACAGCTCTGAACACGTGCCACGCACGCGGCAGATGTGCCTAATTAGGGACTAGCTCACGATACAACCTGCTCGAGAGAAGGAGGCTCCAGCCGTTGCGCCCCTGGGCCTCTGAAGCGGTTTCACGTGTTCTGTCTCACTGGGGGAGAAATGCATGCTTAGAGCGAGGCCATCCTTCCATCCTATTTGTAACATCCATTTCTTCCTTTGGACACTAACTGAATTTACTGCACTTGCTGGCAGAAGGTACAATTTAGTGTTTCACACAACACAGTAAATCACGAAAGCAGCCCCCCAAAAAAATCCTCCCTAAACTGAAGGACCGACTATTGTCTCATGCCTAATATTTTCTGTGGCCTCCTTTAAAAAAAAAGCAAAGCGCAAAACCCAAAGCAACACCGGGAGCCAGGGGTACGAGCTGCACGTCCACGCCTCGATGCCAGAGCGTGCAGTGTGGACCGTGACCCGCTCGTCTTCAGGCCGAGACCTCCATCTGAGCTGGCGGGTGGCGTCGTCCAGCCACAGGAGCCGCGCCCTTCGCCTTCGCACCCCACCTGACAGCTTCAGAAAGGCACGTTCTTACCCCACTCGTCCTTGAGCTGGTGCTGAACTGCTCCTTTGTATGTAAATACACATTTTCTTGCTCAAGTTCCCAAGAAGAAGTGAAGTAGAATTCAGGAATGATTTCATCACTGGCGCCCAGCGCATCTCACTGCGGATGAATTGCTGTCAAACCTCATTTCCTTCAAAGGCAAGGCAGCTGTTAGCGAATGTGACTGTCTTAAATGTTGATGTTGTGCTCCTTTTGCAAACTCCAAAATAACCTTTGGGTTGAGGGTTTTGAATGAAGCTGATTTCAGGGGAGTGGTCTGGGTGCATTTCATTAGAATCCATTCAGATAACCCAAGTGGTTAATCACAGAATGAACGCATATCACTTTTGAAGGAAGGGATCTTTCGACCTCCCAGAATTAACTTTGTTTTCTCATGGAGGCATATAAAAATCTCATTTGCTAAAATACATCTCTTACCGAGAAACTCCAAAAATCAAGCTCGAGCTAGAAGTGTGGGCAGTAGGGTGAATATTCCTACAGCGAAATCTGTGGTTTCCAGTTTGGGCTGATTGTGGAGTTGCATCGAATGAAGTTGAAATAATACAGAAAAGTATGTTCTTACCTCAGTCCCCCCACTCGGAACACGCACGCACGTGCACACGCACACACACGCATGTGCTACCCTCCCGTCAGTTTCTGCTGCCCAGGGGGAAGGAAGGCCGTATTCTAAAGCCAAGAGTAACAGGAGAATTCTCGGCTCTTAGCTTCAGGGCCCAGACCCTCGTGACTGAAGCCTCCCTGCAGGGCTCTCCGAGCACAGCTGTGACTCTGTGCCCTCTTGGCCGTGGCTAGTTTCAAAGTGTGTCGGGTGTGTGGCCCGGCTGTGTCCTTCCCACTTCACAGAGTGAAGGGCCTTCTGAGGCATCACAATGAGAAGGGTGTCACAGGCATTTAGAGCGGGGTGAGGGGGAGAGGCCTGCAGGGAGGTGAAGTATTTTTCAAGGCGCAAGACTGTCTCTTGCATCCAAGAGTTGCTCCCCAAATGCCCTGGGCCTCTGCGTTGAGAAGCTTTCTAACCCCGGCAATGTAAGATCCGAATGCAGCGCATTGTGTCAGGGGACGCTCGGACCCGCCTCGTCCCCACCTGACAGGCAGCGGTCCCTGTACTGGACACACGCTAGTCAAGGCTGTGAAAACCCAAGCAAACCTCTCCACGAGAAAATCCGGAATTCCAGAAATCAGAATTCCCTCCGTAAATGCAGGTGACGGTGCCCACCCTTCACGGCCCGGGCTTCACGGCTTTGGCCGGAGGGAGCCCCGGCAGCTGCATCTGGAGGCGGATATGCACGTGGAGGGGAGGCAGGGTCTCTGGAATCTTCTGGCAGCTCTGCAGAAAATGGGGCACGAGCTACAAAGCTTCCTTCCAAGGTGGAATCAGAGGTTTCCATCCACTGATGACAGGTGGAGGAGCTCCCGCGGGGAGAAATCGGATGCGGGCGGACCGAACCCGGCACAGACACCGTTCACTGTCGGAACCCCAGACCCAGGTCTGGACTGCTGGCCACCCCCATGCGCTGCACGAGCCCTGTCTGCGTTCACCGGTGGAAAGCGCGCGCAGGGTACACGCGCCCATCTCCCTACGCCGTCGAGCACAAGACGCCGCCTCCGGGCCAGGTCTTGTCCGGACTCACTTTGCGCCCTTGTCTGGCCCTGGGACCTCGCCTTTCTTCCAGGCAGCTTGTTTTTAAGGAGGTGACGTCACGCTTTGAGAAAGCGATGTAAGAATCGATCATCAGATTCCTGAGTGCCGTGTCTTGGCCGTATGAAAACAGCCTTCCCACCCGCTTCTTCCTTCTGAAGACATTTCCTTTCCTAGCGACAGTTTAGTTTTGAAGAGAGGACTTCAGAGTGGGTTGTCTGTGAATACACGACATCAGGCCCCCTTTACGTAGCTTTTGCCCCGCCCCCAGGCCTCGGGGACGTGGAGCCTGGAGCCTGGAAGCAGTCATCGCATTACCGGTGCACTCTTTCCTTCCACCGGGGTGTGCTGGGTGCACGCGCTGGCTCTGGGCTGGGCTCTGGAGACACAGCAGTGAGCAGGACACAGAAAAGTCCTGGATCCTAGGGAATTTACGCCCTTGTTTGGAGCAGAAAGAAGGAACTGGAAACCGGAAGCGAGGCCACCCATAAAGGAACATAATAAGCTCTGGGCAGGAAACGAAGGGGGGCGCCATGCGACAGGGTGGGAGGCGAGGCCATTGTCAGCCGTCGGGGAGGGAGTGCTGGTCAGTGGTGAGTGTGAGCCGAGGGTCCAGGTCCTAACTCCCAGGACCTCTTCTGGACACGGGGTCTCTACAGAGGCCGTCGCGTTAAGAGGAGTCATTAGGGTGGACCCCGAGCCACTGTGCGGGGTGTCCTGGTAAGAAGAAGGGATTTGGACAGACAGGCGCGCGCAGACCCAGGAAGAAGACAGCATCTCCGGGCCGAGGAGGGAGGCCTGGACCAGATCCTTCCCCACGCCCTCAGAAGCAACAGCCCGGAACCTCGCTCTCGGACTCCCGGCCTCTGGAACCGGGGCGGCACCTTCCCTGGTTTCAGCCGCCCCGTCTGCGGTGCCGTGTTTCCCGAGCACACTCCTGCAGCGGGAGCATGGCCTTGAACTCGGCCCTGAACGATGAGAAAAGCCTTCCCGATCTGCGGGAAGAGAACCGCTGGAGGGAACAGCAGGAATACTAGTGGAGGGACCAGGACCAGATACATTCCCGGTCCGTGCCTGGTGCTCTGCCTGATTGTGAGCCGCCCTCCTCCCAGGAGCGACGGTGTGGCTTTCGCAGAAAACATTCCCAACCCACCACAGCGGCCATCCCGCAGGAGACACTCGCCACGCGAGGACACGTGTTGCGCGACCTCACTTGTCCCCGATGAAGGCGGTCTCTAGTAAGTGCTATTTCCATACAGCCAAGACAAGGCATTAAAGAAAAAGCCAGAAAATTTATCACCAGACCGAAAACAAAGACATTTTCGAGATAAAGAAAAACTCATTAATTTATGTTCTATGACATCACCACACTTACATTTAACATTTTATTTGATTTAGTACTGTAGCAATAAAATGTTAGCAATGGAGTATTCACTTACTGGGCAACTAAATTTATTGAAAAACAATCTGTGAGCATGTCTTTTATAAACCGTGATTTGGGGCTTTTGTCCCTGACTACAGGGCACACTCTGAATAAATTCAGAGGTCTTTTGCACTGTCTTTTTAAAATGCTTCTTTAATACAACGATTTTATTGAGATGTAATTCACATAACGAGCATACATCTGTCCACTCATTTAAAGCATCAGTGCAGTCAAAGTGTGCAATTCAGGGGTTTTTAGTACATTCCCATGTTGTGAGCCCTCAGCATTATTAATTTTAGGAAATTTTCATCACCCCAGAAAGAAATCCTGGACACATCCTCAGTCACTCGCTGTTTCTCCCCGACGTGCCCCCCACGCCAACACCAGTCTACTCTCTGTCGTTCAGATCTGCCTCCTCCCATTTCCTATAAAGGGAGTCCGACGACATGGGGACTTTTGGGACCTGCTTCTGTCACCCACATAATGTTTTCATGCCGCAGGATGCGTCTGGACCTCATTCCTTTGTATTTGTGAAATACGCCATCGTACAGACACACTGCCTTACGCGTCTGCTCACGGGTTTGTGGACATCTGGGCTGGGTCCACTTCCTGGCCATGATGAATAATGCTGTGAGCATCTGTGTACAAGTGTTTGCTTGGCCACATGGTTCCGTTTCTCTTGGGTCTGTATCCAGGAGTGGAGTTGCTGGGTCCCGTGGGAACTCTGTTTAACCCTCTGAGGAGGAGCCACACTGTTTTCCAAAGTGACCGCACCATCTCATAGCCCACCAGCAGGTTTGGACTCACAGAGTTCAAACCCCTGCTGTTCAAGGGTCAGCTGTGTATAAAGGAACCAGGATTCAGACCGAAGCAGGAGAGCTTCAGAGCATGCACTTTAAGGAAATTATCATCATTTTGACTTAAAAGTTTAAAACCCAGAGAAATAAAAAAACAGTACAATGAGTAGCTGAAGACCCTTCACCTATGCTCACCTCTGTGCTCCATCTCCCCCATCACCTCTCCCTGAGACTGACAGACAGACAGACACACATGTACACATGCATTCATATGATACCTCAAATGTAAGTCCCCGCCTCCGTTCCACATTTATATCCCCTTTTTCCACAGCCATACCCCGGTTCCCAAAAATGTGGTCAGAGAACATACTTTTTATGACTTCAGTCTTTTTGAATATACTGTCTTATTTATTTGGATTTAGCACATGATGCATCCTGGAGAAGGAACTGTGTGTACTTGGGAAGAATGGGTCTTCTGTAGCCACTGGGGGGTGTACTGTAAATGTCAGGTTAAGTGGGTTAGTGCTGTTCAGAGCTTCTGTCTCCCTGATGGTTGTCTGTCTAGTTGTTCTATCAGTTACTGAGAGTGGGGTTTCGAGAGTTCTTATTATGATTAAACTGCCTGTTTCTCCTTTCAATTCTGTCAGTTTTTGCTTCAGGTCCTGTGGGGCTCTGTCCTTAGGCGTGTGCACACTTATAATTTTTATGTTTTCCTGATGTATTGATCCTTTTCTCACCACGAGATGCCCCTCTTTGTCTCCAGGAACAGTTCTTGTCCTCATGGCCATTTTGTCTGCTGTTAGGATCACCAGGGCAGCTCTGTGGTTACTGTTCACAGGTATATTTTCTCACCCTTTTACTTCCAAACTTTTGTGTCTTTGAATCCAAAGTGTATCTCTTGTAGGCAGTGAATACAGTGAGTCTTGCTATTTTTACCCAGTCTGACAATTTCTGCCTTTTGAGTGTGGTGTTTAGTCCATTCACGTTTAATGTAGTAACTGCAATGGTTGGTTTCCGTGATTTTTTTATGTGCTGCTGGATTCTGTTTGCTACTCTTTTCTTTAGGTTTTTATGGAGAGAGTTAGACATGAGGATGGCCTGTGGCTTCCTTTCCCATGCCCTCTATCTCATCCTTTGGTATTATTGTTGAACTTGTTTCATAACAATTACTTGGAATGTTTCTTTCCTTTTCTGTTATCTGGAACAGTTCCTGCAGCACTAGGATGATGCAGTCTGATGATTTTGCAGAATTCCCTTGTGACACCGTCTGAGATGATCCTTTTGTTGTAGATGGTTTCCCGGATAACTTCTTTCTCTTCTAGAAATTGATCTGTTTAAGCTTTTCTACTTCTACCAGGGTTAATTGGTAAGAAGCATTCTTCCTGGTAACTACACATTTCAGCTAGGTTTTCAAATTTATTTGCAAAGACTTCTTATCCTCCTGTGACTGTAAAATTCTTCTGAGTTTCAGTGGTCTGTTCCCGCTCGGTCTGTCTGGTTTTGCTTTCTCCTTTCTCGTGATCAGGTTGCTGGTGACTTCTTTATTTCACTGATTTTTTTTCGGAGAAAATCTATTTGGATGTATCAGTTGCTTTGCTTTTGCTTTCTACTTCATTAATTGCTGCTTTTATTATTGCTTTCCTTCTACTTCCTTTGGTTTGATATGTTGTTTCCTTTTTATGGCCTTTTGTGTCAAGCAAGGCTCTCCTACTGTGCAGTACCACCTCACTATCCCCCCTCAACCAACTGCTCCCCTCACCTGAGCCTCCTGCGTCCTGCCATTTCCAGGTTGATAACAAACATTTGTCCAACAAGTGGACAACGAATGGACAATTCTCTGTGGTGCACAGCCTTCCATGTAGGATGGGTGCTCGGGGAGCACTGGTTGAGCTGATACACAAGCGAGTCTACACAACAGGAGGGCTGAGAATAAGATCTTCTTTGCCTGAGACAGGGATTTAAACTCTGTTATCTCTCAGGATCGGCTGGCTGGTCCTGCGATTCTCTGGTCGTCGGTTTCATAAATCCGCATTTGTCTATCTCTACATCTACATCTGTAGACAGCTCCTCTCGATCTCTGTGTCTGCCACAGATTCTTCACAAATACACTGGTGCTTATCCAAAATCAGAGGATAAATGTACCCTTTGAGTATGAAAATGCTGTGGGGGCCGCCTGCAGCAGAAGCACCCTGACATGTCGATCACCCTCTTTCTGAGCTCTGCCCTGGCATGAGATGGTGCGTGACAGGCAGTCTCAAAGGTCTCACTCGTGCGGAGGACGTGGCAGTTAGTTGACAAATGTCTATAAGTGAAATCACAGTGTGTTGCGCTAGTTTAATGAGTCAGCAACGCACACCGTGTGACAAGTGAAGAGACAAGCCACAGGACTCCCAGCATCACTCACCATCGTTACGTTACGACCTCGTGACTGATGTAGCTGATGTGCTAGGCAGCTTACGCCACAAACCACATAATGGTATTTGTGCAAAATGACATCTGAATTTTTCATGTGCTGCCTAGAGGACAGTTTAGTCCTTCATTCCCAAAAGATGCAACCAGGACCCAGGGAGACATCCAGGACCACATCAGTGCGCTTGCTACCTCAGCGGCTCCTGGGCGGCCCAGGAGGATCGTGGGAGCAACTTCACGAATGCCTGATTGTGGGGCAGAGCAGGGTGCGGTGGGGGCCCGGTCAGGGTTCCTCATCACTCCAAGTGATAGTGCTGCACTCTGAGGGCGACGCCCACCGTGTGGGCCCGGAGCAAAGAGAGTAAGACCGAGATCTTCATTCAAGACCGAGGCCTCTTGATCCTGGCCCCATGATGTCTTCCAGGACGCCAGACTGCACCTGCAGTATGTCAGAACCCGGGCCACCCAGGAGTCCGGAAGCCCTTGTGACTGGTGCTGGGATGTGGCCATTTCAGGTTACTTTTCCCCTGTGCTGTGAGGTGCCTCCTTCTCAGGTGTGATGACCACTCGAAGATCCCAGACATGACCCTACAAAATGACAACGGAAAATCTGACTTGGAGACCTTCTGTGCTCTTGAAACACCAACAGGAGAGCCTGACAGAGAGACCCATGATCGCTGCGCTGGAGAAGCAGCTGGGCGGCTGGCGAGGAGCAGGACGGCGGGGACTCTGATCCATGAGTCAAACCAGCTCTCCCACTTTCCCCGATGGTGGGAACAGAACAGGCTCAGAGGCGGGCCGACAGCAGGGCTATTGCCAGCTCTGCATTCTCTAGGGCCTGGATCTTAAACTCAAAGTAGACTGGGATGACATAGGGGAAGAAGAAAGAGAAAACCAGACGAGCCTACCGAGACAACAGCCGGCGGTTACAGTGGCTACGGTGGACAACACTGACTCGGAATTCATTCAGCATAGATGCTTCCAGGGCGTTGGCTCCACGGTATTGACTGAGCATCTGCTGTGCGTCACACCGTGCTCTGGGTGCTCGGCTGTTGCTGCAGGTGGGTAAGTTACGTTTCTGAAAATGGAATGTCACCCCTTCGTGACCGAACGTTTATTACATGAAGGGAGATGCCACAGGCAGAGTCAGAGTGCCTAAAACACACTTCCGTAGAGTAACAGCCAGATTATTGGTCTGCTGTTGGCGCCAGCCAGTCAGTCCTGCCCGTGGACACCAAGTTGCAAAGGGATGTCCCTCTTATGTGCTGAAGAGCACCTGCCGTAGGAGGGGTGAGTGGTCCCAGGTCCAAGTAGCCCCAGGAGGCGCAATGTAGGAGGCCAAAATAGAGCCTTCCAGGTCGGGCTCCCCAGAACCGCAGGAGAACCAGAGAGATGCTGCCTTGCTGGGGAGGTGAGGCCGACTCTGCCCGCTGGGCTCTCGGGCATCTTTTGGGGTCTTGATGCCAGTTTGTGCTGGGTGGTGGATGCCATGTGCTGATCCAGACCACGGGGAACGGAAAGCCTGCTTAGTGAATAAGCGGGATGATAAATCATGCTCCTTCTTACTCTTGTCTGCGTGCCAGAGAGACGTGCCCGATCCTCCCGCACCGTTCAGGTGGCTTGTGCTGGGGGAAAATGACTCGTGGGGAGTAATGAGGATAATTAAGGATGTGTTCTCCAAACTGTCACTGCACAAGTGTTAAGAGGACATTTGGAGAGAGGGGGTTTCTTTGTACCATTGCGGTAATCATGTCAAAGTTTGCGGGATAGAGCTCTCCAGAACCAGCAACAGTAAGTAATTACAATGCAGTATGTACTTTGAAAGTGGAATGTTTCGATCGGGTGAGGTGCCCGAGGTCCGGCGGGTATAGATGTTACTCTCCCCACCCGGGCTCATCGCACCAGAGAAGCTCTTGATCACCAACCCCCACCTGTCTTCTCTCTCCTGTCCCCAGGCGATGGATCTGGAAGTCCCCGTGCTGGCCAGGAACATCCCCGGGAACGCGGCGGTGGTGAAGCATGAGGTCACAGGGCTATTGTTTTCAGACCCACAGGTAAGGAAGGGTTTGTCTGGAACGGTTTCCATCGGCGTTTCCCTCACCAGTCCGGCATTCCCATCTCTTGGCCAGTGCCCAGTGCCGCCTCCCGGGGGCGGGAGCCCTGTGTGCAGCATGTCGGCTGTGGCCACGGGGGCAGCCGTGTGACCTGGAAAAACCTAGAACAGAGACCCAAACACAAGACCTGCTCCTGTTCCTGATTCTGCCTCCGACGAGCGGCATGGCCTTGAGCATGTCAGGTCACCTCTGAGATGCTTGGGTTTCTGATCTCCAAGCAGGTGCTCTTCAGAAACAACCTTAGATTTCTAGGACACCTACTGGTTTTCAGAAGATTGCCGTATATCTGATCATTGTGAAACCTCAACACAACATAGAGAATAAGCCAGTACTTCTGCATATGCATCACATCCACGTGTGTTTGAAAATAATGTATGGGATGGTGCAGCGGAGGGTGGGCAAGGCCAGGGCACACGCGTGTGTGGGGACCTCCAGGAAGTGTGTGGAGGGGTCTGGAGGGGGCCCGTGTGTGTCTGCCCGCAGCTGGCCCTTGGGGACGGTGGGCAGGGCGTATGGCCTGGCCTGAGTCTCTGAGCTCTTTTTTCTCCTGGACAAGCAGAGCTCATCATCCCTGCTGCCTCCTAGAGGGGGGATGGGGGCGGACGGAGGGACACACAGGGCTGTGTGTGTTCACGGCATGTGGCCGGGGCTCCGGACCTGCTGTCACCATGGGAGAGACATGGCCACAGCCGCCACCTACCATCCGATGGCAGGAAGTAAGTCTCTGAGGCCTGAGCTTTGTCCTTTGAGTCTTTAAAAATTAGGTGCTGTCTACCAGCATCTTTATTAGAGCACAGGTTATATTCAAGAGTATAGGGATTTATACTTAAAAATTATTGTTGAGTCAAATAATTGAAAATTCAGTTTTCACATTTCCTGCAGTGGACGCTTAATCCGAGACAGCTTTCCCTTTCTCTTGCTATGACCATGCTCACCTCTTTTCCCTGCGGCCCGGGGCGCTGGCTCCCGTGTGACTGTCCAGCCAAAGGCACCCGGCCGCTAACCCTTCCCTTTTGGCAGCAACGCCCGCGAGCCGGAGAGGATCAGGACTGGAAGAGCAGACAGCAGTTATTGTCTTCTTCTCCAAACAAAGGCTTATTGCTTTTTGCCGCCTTCTGGAAGCCTGGAAATCAACACCGCCAAGCTTTTAGGTCAGACAGTGTTGCCTCCGCCCTGGCAGAGATTTTATTTTCACCTCCCCAAACACGGCGTCTGTTTATTTAGCTCAACTCCAGAGGCTCTGACTTTGCCCATGAGTCTGAGCACGAGGACAGAAGCACGCTGGCGGTCTTACAGAGTGTCCGGCAGGGGGGTCCTTCTGACACTTGCCAACGAGTGCCACCCCGGCCCCGACAGGGTTGCGTCCCCCTGCTCCCAGACACGGCGCCGCGCCACACGAAGTCAGGAACTTACTTCGATTCTAAAACATGAACGTTGGTGTCACAAAGGATGTTTAAAAAAAAGAACACTTTAGATTTCACATGGGGGAGGCTGCGTCTTTTAACACACTCTGAGAAGTGCGCTAGACGCGGCTGTCACAGGCAGCTTTCTTTTGTCTTCTTTACGCTCACGACCGGACTCGACGGAGCGCAGGGTGGGAAGCCTGCCTCCAAAACAAAATGCATTTTAAATAAGCCGGCCACGTGGTTAGAGTCACCGCGGACGAGGGGCTCAGGTGCACAAACCGCTGGCTGGCTGCCAGAGTGTGGAAGGTTGAGTTCAGATATGGACCCAGAGCAGCATTTCACTTGCTAAGGGGGGACTCGCGGGCCTGAGAGCCAGCCTCCCCAGGGTGATGCACGCGTGTAAACCGTGAATGCGCTGCCGTCCGAGGCGGATCTGGAGTCGGCAGCTCAGCGTGAGCTCTCCATCCCTGATGGAGACGACAGAGAAACCGGATAGGAAGCGGGGAGTCGCCGGTCGCTCACACCTGCCAGACCCACCCCCCGACTTACCCTCGAAACAGCAAACAAACCTCACACAGGCTTTGCCTGAAGGGCCTCAGTGGTTGTCAAAGGGCATCCCTTTTCCTCTTACTTTGTGAACCTTTGTATAAAACTAAACCAACAGCGGGGGCAGAGTCCTGACCTTCCCTCTGGGAGCACAGCCCCTACTCTGTGGCAGTCCGTGCCTGGGCCCTCGCTCCCTGTCCCCTTCCCGGTGCCTCTGGCACCCCGCGGCCCCGGCTGCACAGCCCATGACAACCTCTGCATCATAGGTGCGGTCGGGGGACAGGCTGCTGCCCACGTGTGGTGTCCTGAGAGCCCACGCCTTCTGGCCGTCAGGTTCAGGTTCGTGGCCAAGCTAGCTGTGCGTGCACGCGCTGTCTCCCAGGGCTCCTGGCGGCTCCGAGTCTGGCCACAGAAGGTGAAAGACCAAGGCTAATCCCGTTAGTGCCTTGGTCAGCCCCGACAGCAGGAGGGAGGTCTTGAGGGAAGAGGCGTGTGGTAAGTCCGTGTGGCTGTCGGGGGTGTGGGGGGAGAACAGAGAAGAAGTGGGTTTGAGAGAGGCTCCCGCGAGGCCAGGCGGCTCGTGCTCTCGTGTCTGGGGCCCGCGGGGGAGACCACGTGCCCCGGGTGAACAAGGGGCCCGCACAGGGCCCATTGCCGGCCGCCCTGGGCCCACAGGCCCGAGTCACAGCCCTTGCCGTGTTTGAAGAGGGGCTGGAATTCCCAAATTATACTTGGATTGTACCCATTTGTAAACGTTGATAATTCAGTCGGCTGTTAGTTTAGACGCTCTGTGGGCCTTCCAACCATCCAACCATCCAGGGGAAGATCTGCTGGGCGGCTACCTGTTATACATCTGCTCTGGACAAGGCCTGTCCCCTCTCTGAGTGAGTGAGGGATGGGACTGTCACATGGCAGTGACATTCCCAGCGAGGTCGTGTCCGAGGCGGCGTATTCCTAGCTGGGGACCACGTCTTGCGCTCCAGACACAAGAGAAGGCTAGGGGTCCTCAGGCGTCTCGGGAGTGCAGAGTCTCACCAGCCAGAAAGAGGAGTCTGGGCTTCGTGCGACAGGACAAGCGTAGTGGGTTCTGTCTCTGCAAAACGGGGCAGGGGAACTGGGTCCCGCATGCACCAGGTGAGTTAGAGAACTTTCCCTGAGGCCCTGCTACACGGCGGGCACTGAGCAAGGTCCTGGAGGTGGAAGCTGGGAGGGAAGAGTCCAAGTCGCGCGTGGGGTTTGGGGGCCAGGCAGGGGGCTCTGGGATAGGGCCGCACAGCCTCTTCCCGAGGACCACGGGCACCACCCCCGTCGGATGTCGTAGGGATCGACTCCTGGGACTCTCACAGGTTCTGCCCAGCGAGGATGAGGCTGGACCCGACGGACGAGGGGCCCGCAGGGAAGGGCCCTTGTGGCAGCAGAGCCCCGCGCAGGAAGCTGGGGCGTGACGGCGAGCGTGTGGGGAGCAGGAGGGGCGCAGTGCGCCGCGTGCCGGGCCTGCAGGGAATGAAGGGGACGACCAGGAACCGTGAGGTGCACGGGACGCAGGAGCGCAGTGGGCGCGGTGTTGATGCAGCCCCCGCGGTCTCCATCTCCTGGAGTTGGGCTGTGATGGCCACACATCTTTCTTACAGAAAAATCGACAACATACAAATTAAATGAAGAAGCATCACAGTTGAGCATTTGGAGACAACCTCCTATTTCTGCAGGACCCACGCGGGTGGGACGCGTTCCCTTCCCGGCTGGACGGGGCTCTCTGCAGCCTCTTGGTTGTCACGGGTGCTGAATCCATCTGCGCTCTTGTTCTCGCGGACGTAGAGACCGTGAGCTTTTCCCCCGGGCAGCGCACGCCGGACGTGGAGCGTGCTCCTCAGCGCACGTGACTGCTGGAGCAGGGAGGACACACGCCCCGATGGCCGGGGTACTGGCCATTTAGGGGCTCCTGCCTGTCGGGGCCATTCCCGGAGCTGGCGGTCCAGAGAGCCGTGGCCGCGAGCTGCAGCCGCGTGAAGGCACGGCTGGTGGCTGAGGTCTGAGGGAGGGAGAGCTGTGCCCGCTTCTGACGGGCAGTGTGTGGCCACTCGTGCGGACCAGGACGGCGGCCACCAGCCCAGGTGTGACCGTCCCCCTCCACTGAGGGTTTGTGGGCCGAGGTGCCCGCACGCAGCCTCAGCAAGACAGCGCTGATCAGGAGCCTTTGCAGGGGCTGGAGGCGGCCTCCACCTGGACCCCCAGGTCTGCCTCCCAAAGCCCACTCCCCTGGAGGACCTCTGCCAGCAAGCCTCACATCCGTCCCGTGTCCCTGAGGCACGGCCAGGATGACTTCATGGCAGATTTACTGCCACATCTCTTGGCTCTGCTCGTCCTCTCTGATCCTCTGAGCCCCCCGACGTAGCTGTGGTCACTCCTGTGCCCCCAGGAGCCTTCTCCGGGCCGGCTCTCCGCTCACGGTGTTCCCTCACATTCTGGCCTTCGCTTGTCGAGACCAGAGGAGGGGGACATGGGTCCAGGGCCGAATGGTCTGAGTGCAGTCCTGTCCCGGCCGCGGACCACTTGCTCTGTGACCCTGGCACGTCCCCTGAACCTCTCTCTCCTCCAGTTTCTCTGAGAACGGACTCATGGGACAGCCCCGAGTCCCAGTCCCTTTCTGCAATTCCAAAATCCAAAAAGCGCTTGAAAAGCAATTTGATTTTTTGGGAGTTTGGTGCCAAAACTCACTTGGCAGCAAACTCGTATCTGAGCTGACGTGAAGTTATTTGTGGCTTTGTTTATCCTGCTTCGCCTGACTAGTCGTACGTTTTGATTTGGAAATTGTGGTGTTTCGTATGGGGCACCGCTTAGAGCCACCGCGGGGCACATGGTGGAGAGAGGGGGCATAAATCCCATCATTAAATCCCCCCATCCTGGATTCTGAACAGCAAGCACATGACAGATGCTGCTGCTGATGGTGATGATGTGCGGCCAGTCCGACCCCGCTGTCCTCCCTCGGCAGAGAGGAGAGTGGGAGGCTTTCTCCTTGACCCGGTCGGGAGCATTGACGTTCCCACCACGTGGGTCAGAGCCGTGCACTGTCCTGTCCCCACCTCATCCCCCTACGGGCCACGTCCCCAGAACACGGGAGGCAGACGAGGGAGAGGCCGGGAGCTAACCCAGGCACAGCCGTTTGCAAATCCCTGCTGGCCAATTATTTACACCCGATTCTCTTCCACCTCCTTCTTTGCAGGAGTTTGTTCAATTAGCAAAGAGACTGGTTCGTGATCCTGCGCTGGAAAAAGAAATTGTGGCCAACGGAAGGGAGTACGTGAGAAGGTATCACTCATGGCAGGCGGAAAGAGACACCTATCAGAGCCTCGTCCAGACCCTCGAGGGAAGCATCGAGGAGTGAGGGCGCTCGCCGGGTGTCACGTGCCCACCCGGGGCCACCGCGGACGCACGGCCCTGGGTGAACACCAGAGACAGAGTTCTGGGCCAGTGGGGCCGGTCCGGTCCAAATCACGCCAGTTTCAATGGAATCATCGATAAACAACGTCAGTTATAAGGCAGAACCTCATCCAAAACCTGTCAGGGCTTCCAGAGAACATCCCAGACGTGTCTACCAGATCAGCTCCTGGGGGCTCCTGGGGGCTCCTAGGGGCCAGGCAGGGGGAGGCGGGGAGAGAGCGGTGTTAGCCGCTACGGGACTTAGGGGCAAGCCGCGCAGCACAGACACGTCCCACCTGCCTTCTGATGACCTGTAACTCATTGTTCAAAACCAGCAACTAAAGTCCAACGTGTCCACCGAAAGGAGTCCACAGAATAAAGTGTGTCGCCGTCAGCCCACGGACTCAGCCGCTGTGTGTTCATGTTGTGAGCAGCATCCAAGAGAAACCCCCCCACCCCAGTCCCAGCCCTGAACACACAGGTACTGATGCCCGAGCATCTCCTGAAGGGGGTTTATGCACAATCACCAAGTTAATGCCAAAGTGTAGACGTGAAACCGTGCTTTTCCACAGCATTGTACACGGCTCCAGTTTCATTCTCAGTTAACTCTATGTTTCAACGTTTTGTTACCGGTTTCAGTTTGCTGAGGTCCAGGTTTGAATGATCCAGGAGTAGGTCTCCAGAGAGTACCGAGATACCGTGACCTCCGAATACGGGGGAGGAGGGGGAATGCACAGAACGGGGTGCCGAGATACCGTGACCTCCGAATACGGGGGAGGGGGGGGAATGCACAGAACGGGGTGCCGAGATACCGTGAGCTCCGAATATGGGGGGAATGCACAGAACGGGGTGCCGAGATACCGTGAGCTCTGAATACGGGAGAATGCACAGAATGGGGTGCCGTGTTTTGCCGCAGAGAGGTGCCGCCTCCCCTCGGCTTCTGGGCCTGCCTCTCGGGTTAGCTCCGCCCTTGCCCCTTCCCCACTATCCCCGGGGTGGTGATGCCACAGGGCCTGCTGGATGGGCAGCTTCCTGGGATCTTCAGCTTTTCCGAGCAGACTGTGCGGGCTCACCTGGCAGCCGGTGCTTGGAGCTGAACCTGCCTGCCTGTCACTGATCCATAGCTCTCAACGGTGTCCGGAGAGTTGCCCTTTATGCATTTTTCCTGTGAAGACACAGTGTCTTCTTCTTCCCACTCCTTGTGTCTCCCCACGGCCCACCCTCACTTCCCTTCTGACCCAATGTCCTCTTGGAAAGTCAGGGGGCCCGTGTGGGGATGACACACGGAAGGCCTCCCTACCCAAAATCCTGGTGCCCGGCCACATTCCTGACCGGTCACATCAGCTCTCGGGGTTGATGTTGGGTCCAGCGACCCAACATTGCCGCCAAGACTGACGGGACAGCTACTGCCTTAAAGGGTCCATCTGAATAGGGACCGGAACTTCACAGAAAACGAACATCTGAGAAGAGGCTAGGTGATGAGTTTGTATTGAAAAGTGAATCCAGAATGAAGAAGGCGGGTTAAATTCGCCTGATGTTTAACACACTTGATTTATGCCGGCAGAATTGAAACTCTAAGTGCAGGGCCAAGAAAAAGTTCCCACCAACAAGTAAATAACAAGCAAGACAATGCCCAGGACTTGGTCAGTGCTATGCAGAGCTTCTCCTTCCTCTGGTCTGCAGTGTCTGTCCTGTGGTCTTTGGAGACTGTCTCACCCTTGCCAGCTACCTGGTTCTAAGCCGCCAGGGACCCTGCCTATGGTTCAGGTCGCTCCCCAGCACCTGTCCATCACTTTCAGGAAACCCCTCATCTCCCACAAGATGTGCAATTTTACTTCTCAGTTGATTTCCAAAGGTCGTGGCATTTAAACTCTTTGACCATGAAATAGTAAGAGGGACCAAATCTACACAGGTATAGAGAACAAGAGGATGTCACTTGGGATTACACCTGGTTGTACTTGACCAGAAATTCAAGGTAACAGTGGTGTAAGCAGGAAAGAAATGTGTGTTTTCTCTCCCAAGTTCAGGGATTAACAGCATGTGTGGTGTTCCCGGGGGCAGGAACTCAGACCCTCCATCCTCTTGTTCCTCCACCCTCAGGACATGGCTGTCTCTACCTCACACAGCAGTGTGGCTGCCCACGCGCTGCCATCACACCTGATTTCCAAGTTGCAGGAGGGTAGAAGGAAGGCAGGAACAGAGATTTACTCATCTCGTTTCTTTCAGGACAATTCCCACCTCTAGTCACACACTGTGTCCCACACCCAGTTGCAAGGGACACTTGGAAATGCAGGCTTCACTCCAAGCAGCCATGCACCCAGTTAAAAACCAGGGGTCCACTATCAAGAGACAAGCAAGTTGCACATCAAGAGACAGTCTGCAGGTGTCGTGGCCATCGAGATAGGCTGGTTGTAGGCTCTGCAGCCCCAGGCATCCTACTTATTACTAACCACTGGGTACCTTTTAATGCCAAGAGAAGTGTTTTCCACAAGGTTTTAATTTACTTTTAAGGCCATCCAGACACGGCTCACCTTCCCTCCCCAAGATCTCATTTCTATACAAGCTCTCAGCCACTGCAGTGTATCCATTAGTACTTCTCACCCTGCAGCATCTGAATTAAAGACTGAGTCAAAGATCACATGGGTTTTTCACTTGAATCTCCTACTAAAAAATGTTCATTCCCACTGGGAGATGCCCGACAGACCCTGGAAGACACAACAAAGCGAGGAAGTGTACTGACGATGTATATGTGATCTCGGCCACTCTGGAAGTTCTCATGGTCACCCGGGACGCATAAACAGGTCACTGTTCACGTTGCAAGGTCTTGGGAAACTGAACTCTTTTTGGGAGGGATCCATGAGTCAGAGTTTGGTGAGGAACAAAGGAAGAATTTACATTTATCAGAAGATACAGCGAAGTTCCTTCTTGCTTCCTGTTTGGCCTCTACAAATAGTGTTTAAAACAAAAATCCTTTGTGGTCAAAGTTATCGGTGGGAACTCCCCGCGTGCGGCCTGCTTGAGCGTGATACGCCGAGTCACGCACACAGGCAGGTGTGAGCACCGCCGCGTGAGGTTAGGGAAAGCCAGCCTCGGCAGGTCTGGTGATCAGATGGTCCCTGTTTTAGATGGCGAATTGAATCCCTAAGCAGGACGTGGGGAAACCCTCCCTGTTTCCCGGTGGGGGTGGTTTCCTTCTGTCTTCCTAAGGCCTAGGTAGCCACACCCCCTTTCTTCCAGTGAGGAGTTCCCGGGAGAGCAAAGCCAGGCCCCCTGCTCTTGCCCCGGGGCCTGGGGCCTCGCGGAGAACAAACGGAGCTCCCTCCCCCGCCTGGAGCCAAGCCACACAGAGCCCTCGGGGTCAGAGTCAGTGAGGACACAAGGGACAGAGCAGCGAAGCCCCAGGTTTCTCAGAACAGAAACCATGGCCAAGAGGAAGGACAAGTAGTTTCTAAGAGTATCTCACAGACTCTAAAGGAACCTCTGGCACAAGTGAATACAAAGAAGGTGGGGGTGTCCTTTAGTTCAAAGGAATGACCGCATCTTTATCTCTGGCCCCATCTATTTTAAAGAGATTATGTTACAATCTACTTTCAGACTCAGAGGTAGGCCTTGAAAATCCAGACTATGAAACGTCTTTCCAAAAATGTAAACAATTCAGCTAAATCACAAAAGCTTTCTCTGTAGAAAGGAAAAATGAGGGTGGTGCAGCCTTTCTCAGCAGAGGGCCTGGAATCACCGTGCACGGCCCAAAGCCTCTGCAATCAGACGGAGCGCTGGAAACGGATTTTCTTCTTTAGCATCTCATATAGAAATATGCTAAGTATTTACCCAAACCGGATTTTCTTCTTTAGCATCTCATATAAAAATATGCTAAGTATTTCCCCAAACCAGAAAGGTTAGCAACCAGAGGTCCCCCAAGAAACGGGAGCCAGGAGCCTAGTCATTCCGCGTGAGGAGCTTGACTTGGTTTTTGGTGCCCATGCCTCCATTTTAAAAATACCTGGAAAAACCGCTTACAAAGTCAAAAGATCTGCTGATTTCCAGCCACTGAGAAGGCTTCCTTCCCTCTGTCCTTTTCTGGCCCCTCTTCCCGCACCTCTAGACGCATTTAGAGGCTCAGCAGGCATATCAACAACTGTGACTGGAAAGACACCTGCATTTGTGACTTGGGTGGGTTGTCACTGACAGCGAAGGTCAGGTGAACCCCCATGTCCCAGGCGCGGTGCTCAGTGCGGGTAACAGCGACCTTCCCCAAAGCCCCAAGCTCCCGGAGAACAACAGAGGTTAAGAGATGTCCCCGACTTTCACGTTCCGGAAAGGACTTACTGCAGAGGACCCCCTTCCCCACACGACTGGGGTGCACTCAAAGCCAGCGCACCTGTCACTGAATCCCCGCCCGGTCTCATCGGGGATGGGCTGACGTGCTTTTCCCCACTGATCAACCAGACCACATGCCTGCTCGCCACGCTGTGTCCAAGCTTCCCTGTCCTTCCTGGGCCTGTCCCATCTCCGCTGAACCAGCAGACCACCCCCCATCACCACCACATCCCCCATCCCATTCTTTCCAGCCTTGTGGGCTCCTCCCCATAAAGTAGAAGCCCGTATGCTGAAACCCACAGCTGCCTACAGCTCTGATGGTCAGAGTGTCCTCTCTGTTATCAGAATCCTCAAGAATCCTCTCGGAGAAAATCCCTCTGTACTAAGCAGGATTTGTTCCCCATCAGGCAGTGCCTTCTCTGCAATATCCAGTGCTCACAACAGCCCCGTGATCTCACTGTCTCTCCCTGTCCCTCTGATGCTACATGGGACCGTCTCCATATCCCATCCAGCATCGTCCAAGGTATGCTAAGGGTCGGACAAGTGTTCCACCCAGGTCAGAGGGAGCTGAAGGGGGGCAGAATATGCGGCCCCAAAATATGCCCCTTTGGTGCCTGGATTATTTTGAGCTGGAGACCACTGGAGACGAACGGATGCAGAAAGAAGGCTTCTGGAGCTTCCCTTATCTGACTAAGAGCAGACACTTCTGAGAAATGAGGTTGGCCATAAATCCCCCATCCCCGGGGAGTTTTACAGCCGTGGAAAAGCCGAAGAGTGAGAGTCAAGTGGCCCGCACAAATGAACTTTACTAAATAACCCTTATCTACCTCGAGTTCCCTTGTATATTTACCTTCCCACACTTCATTGCCCAAGAAGCTCAAAACCCTTCTCCTTCAGTCTTGTCACTTCTCCACAAATGTATTGCCCTTTGTTCAAATGGGCTTTGTAAAAGACTCCAGGTCTGAGCACCACTTTGGGGTGCTCATTTTATTTCTGTGAGCCCCCCCCAGATATGCATAAGAAATAAACCCTTTCTTCCTCTTCATGGGACTTGATTTGCAGGTCCTCAGTCACAGAACAAACAAGGGATTTTCCTTCCCTCGGAGCCATCAGATTTAACATCAGCACATTTATTTGAAATGAGTTATAAAGTTAAAAATTGTTATTTCTTAATAAG